AAGACAGATGGACGTTCTACATCAGAACGCCGGCTCCTGCGTCGGCAGCATCACACGCATGCGTCGTACTCTTGTGAATGTGTGTCGAAGACTGACACCGAAAAGAAGAAATCATTGAATAAAGTTGCAAAAAGTATTCTTTTTCATAAAAAGTATTCATAAAATTATGGTTGAGCCACTGATGTCACATGGACTATTTTAACGATGTCTTTACTACCTTTCTGGACCTCGAAAGTTTCAGTTGCGTTGCTGTCTATGGAGGGTCAGAAAGCTCTCGGATTTCACCAAAAATATCTTCATTTGTTTTCCGAAGATGAGCGAAGGTCTTACAGGTTTGGAACGACATAAGGGTGAGTAATTAATGACAGAATTTTCATTTTTGGGTAAACTATGCCTTTCAGGACAATGGAACTGTAAGAGCAAAAACACAAACTAGTTTCTGGGTTTAAAGCTCATTTCTGCAAGTGTTCGAACTGCTGATTTTTGTGGGAATTATTCACTCACATTAAACATTTAACCTCCTCAGCAAGAACTGTTAGTTCACCATCACAGTAGTTGACCTAGAAGAGTAAACTGACTATAGAAGAAGACAGCTTGTTTGCGCTACTGCTATAGCGCCCCTTGTGGCAACTCTGAGAATACAGAGAGAAGAAAAGTGTGTACTAGCACATTTCAGAACCCAGTGACATGAATTCGAGCATTTGTTCATTTGCTTGTGTACAGTATGTTTTAGTCCTTTCTGCCATCCCATCTTTTGTGTTATGCTTCCTATATCTCTTTCTTTTTTCTGTCTCTTTCATTGTTGGAACTTTCAAGTTCAGTCTCCCTAATAATATAACATTTTGTCTCTGTTCCTCTTTCTCTATAACCTCTCTCTCCTCCTTGTGTACTTACTCGGCCTACTCTTGCATCTCTCTCTCTCTCTCTCTCTCTCTCATGTGGTTGGCAGGTGTAACTCCAGATGCCTTGTTGTGGTTGTTGAACTTACCTTCTGCATGACGGACGCCCTCCTCACCCTCCTCTCCAGCTTTGCTGTTTTTCGTCTCCTCTCTCCGAACGGCACCTTTCCTTCTCCTCCTCCTCCTCCTCCTCCTCCTCCTGTGGGCATAAGTGGGCTAAAGCAGGCCCGACCGGCCAAGATCCTTGGCCTTTCCTTCTTGTCACAGCTGAACTAAGTCTCTCTTCTATCTCGCAGCACTATAATAATCTGTCAGTCTGTAATATGTCAGTAGACAGATCTCTTCTTGTCTGTCAGTCTCTTTAACTGTTTTGTCTGTTCATCTGGGATGTAAGCTGCCACTGTGTCTCTGTGTCTCTAATTAACTTCCCGTAGAGCTCCTACTGTATAAAGCTCTCACTCCTAGTAAACACTCTCTGTTTTCCTGCTCAGTTACTCCAGAGGGACTATCCTCTATTTACCTTCCCATCTCTAACACTGACTGGAATTTTCATCTCGGCTATATTGTCTTAATTCAGCTGCTTTGGTGTTTAAGCAATAGATCTCCCAAGAATGAAAATTCTCTCATTATTTCCTCACCCTCATGTTGTTCCAAATCTATTTGCTGTTATTTTTCTCCACTGAACACAAATGGATTTTGACCATATCTGTCAAGCTACCATAAAAAAAAGAGTCAATGACTTGCACTATATTCCAAGTCTGTATAAAAGGTCCATGTAAAGAGAAAATACACATGCACATTTGGAACGACGTGAGGCGATTCTTTAATGGAAGGCAGAACTTGAAAATAAACCGTAGTCAGAGAAGATGTCACATTTAATTTGACATATTAAAAGAAACTCTACTCTGATTAATGTCTGTGCTGTACATTTAACATACATCCTCCATAAAAGCAATGTTCTGGGTTCAAAACAAATTAAACTCAACAGCATTTTTGGCATAATGTCAGTTGCCACAAAATGATTTCATCTCATTCCTCAGATTCTAATTTTTAGAAAAGTAAAAATCATGGTTACAGTAATGCAGCAAAGTTTCAAGCTTCCCGAAAGTTTAAAATCATGTTAAATAAAACCTCATTCAATACAAATTGTGTTTTACTGTGGACTTGTGGCCATACCTTTGAAACGCTATGTATAAATACGTTTTTAAAAGTGTGGCCACAAGTCCAAAGACAAAATAATAGAATGATAGAGGAATGTAGCTTAATTTATATATATGTTTTAAAAGTTTTAATTCAGTTATTATCATGGACTAGTCTTGTGGACTATCTGTAAACGTCTGTAATGTGAAATGGCTTATTCAAGAGCTGTACTAAATAAAAAATAAAATAAACTGAAGGATGAGTTGAAATGATATGCGGTGCAAATTGCCATTATGCCTCAAATGCTGTGAACAGAGCTTCTCTTGTAGTGAAGTTAACATTGGTTTACGCTGCAGGGCCTGTGACACAGTTCTCATTGGTTCCCTTTGATGTCCTGTAGTGCTGGGAGCCATTTGAACTCTGACCTGCTCTGTCTGAAAGTGTGCCCTGTAATGCTATCTCTCACACACTTCATGTACAGTGCATTAATGTGGCATGGTTGTGTTGTTCAGCTTCTGTGTAGACCAAATCTTGCTTTCCACACACTTTTTCAGACATTTCATATTGACCACTATTGTGAGACCATTGTATATAGTAGAACACTAGAAAAGGGAGATGGGTAGATGAGAGGAAAGGGAGGGATGAAATGGGACAACTAGAAGCATGTCTGTAGAATCTGATGCTCTTGTTTTCTTTCTCCTACTAACTTGTTCTCTGGTGTGTTGCTGCATCTTGTGTCTTTCATAACTTCTAATAAAACTGACTGCTCACCACAGCCTTTGCCTGTGTGCTCTTTCTCTTCATCTGTTTTTGAATGTGTGTGTGTGTGTGTGTGTGTGTTTTCTGGTGAAATACTGAAGCCTGGTGAGTTAAATGTGTTGTGGCTGACTGCTGTAACAGCTTGTCTTTTTAATGGAGGTGTTGGTCATAATTTTTCTGGGTCGGTGTGCATCTTCTTCAACCCTCTCCTTCCTTCCCCCTCCATCAAACCCCTCCTCGCTTTTCCAAGCCCCTGGATGAATAGCCAGGCTCAGGGGTCAAAGGTGAGAGGTTGCAGCAGAAGAGACTGCAGCAGAGCAGACTGTAGTCAAGACCGGAGTATGGGAGACCTACAGGATATTCCAGGGTTCATACGATCACGGGAAATTTTCAAATCTAGGAATTTCAAATCATTTTTAAAATTTGGATTTTACATTTTCAATTTCTGTAGTGAATATAAATCTTTCTAGTTATGCTCAGCTCATCAAATGTTTCATTAGCTAGAATTTGCTGTTTTGTGAGTGCAGTCTCTATACAGTTGAATATTTTTTCAATTAATTATTTAATAATTTGTAATCATTCGTATGCAGTAATCAGGAGTGACTGGAAAAGTAATAGTGGCATTAAGAAATGGTAAAAATATATTTTTTCTTTAAAATATATGTTTGCAATAATTTATGAAAAAGCCTTAAATTTGAACAAAATCTGATTTTTGTTCTGCATTTAAATTTGTTAAAAGAAAATTTCTTAAAGTTGTGAATGAAGATAAATGAGGACTCTATTTATTCTTTCTAGGGGAAAAAAGAAAATGGCGAAAATGTAGCTGTGGTCGTCTTTAAGCAGTATTTAAAGAGATTCAGAAATGAGGGTTTTAGCTAAATTAATTTATTAGTTTATATAAATGTTTTATTTTTTGTAATTTTGTTAGGCTTTGGAAGCTATTTGTGATGAAAGGTTAAATGGTTCATAACATTGTGGTAGAAATAACCTTAAAGGGATAGTTCACCCTTAAATTAAAATTGTCATATACTCACCCTCATATTGTTCCAAACCTATAAGACTTTACTTCATCGTCGGGACACAGATTTTTTATTATGCTCTTACTATTTTTGTCTGTCTGTTGAAAGTCCAAGCAACCAAAATTTTCAAGCTTCAAAAAGATCATAAACATTTTGTCAAGTACTCCATATGACTCAAGTGGCTTAATCCAAGTCTTCTGAATTGCTTCATATGTTCATCATATAACTATGTGACTTATGGGTTATATTAAAGTCCCCCTGTAGTCAAATATTTTATCCCTTAAAACTTATCTTTGATCATCAAAATTACATATTTACAATGTTTTTTCTTGTGAAAATAATTTTCTCATGCCTTAAAATAGCTCGAAAGTAACTCTACACCCTTGCCTCATTTACTATACGCTGATCTATGAATATGCAAATTAGTCCCGCCTCCACTCAGTCACACCAGCCAGCGCCTCTTGATCCACTGTACTGTAGTAAACGCAAAACAATGGCATACATGGATATTGACTGATAAAACTATGTTTTTACTAGCGGACAACTAGAGTGAATACTGTAACATTCGTTAAAGTTACTTACTTGCCGATGTTGTGCCCTAAAATGCCTTGAAGACTCGAATGCAGCCGTTTGTGATTGTTAATTTGCGCCTGCGAGCATACGCAGGAGGGTGGGTGGGTCTGACTCCGGGCTACTTTTACACTATTGCCGTGGGTTATAATGCAAGTTAGCGGTTCTAAATTCACATTAAACCACAGCTTCATGGGTTTTTTGCTTTGATTTATTTTTGGTTTTGTGCTGGTATTGGTATATTTTGCATGCTAGTGATAGGAATCGATCCCTTGACGTTATTGGTTTGTGACGTAGAAAACCGAGGGCTGTTTCAAACCGTATTTCTGGGTCAGCCTTTGGGGAACTACAGTTTTAAGGAGAAAATACACAGCAATGGTGTTGATTAATAGATTGGCACATGGTTTGTCTAAAAGCATATTAAAAACATTTTGGGTGAACTGTCCCTTTAAATCTAACACAACTGAGGACCATATTTACAGATCAGGTAAGGTGATCATTGCGCTTGGGTGTGTTTAATGAGTATGTGCCAGTGGACTGTGCCCTTTTTCACTAATGTGCAGTATGTAAATGAGGATATGTGGTTTTGATGCTGTAGCTTTTCTGTTCGCAGGACGGCTCGGGCTCGCTGAAGCGCAGCGGTTCCTTTAGTAAACTGCGGGCCTCTATCCGGCGCAGCAGTGAGAAACTGGTCCGCAAGCTCAAAGGAGGCGGCTTACGAGAAAATGAACCCAAAAATCCGGGGTAACTATCACCACTTCCCTCCCTATTCTGAGACCAAACCTCCCCTTCCCAATATCCCAAAACATTCCCACTGCGGACTAAACAATGACTGGCAGGCGTGCATGACACTGTGACATTAAACCTCAAACACAAAACACACTGGAATAGCAGACTGACTTGCTATGGTTTAAAAACGGGGAAAGGGAAATGCTCAGTCAGGCTTTTGGGAAGACGGTGTTAAAATTTTTCGATATGAGTTTTAACTAAACTCTGCAGTGTTGATCTCAAGGAGCAGGATTGAGCACCTGAGTTTAGGATCCCAGAGGGACAAAATTATCTGTATCAATATGTATCACCAGATCTCTGTCTGGAATGATGTCAGTAGACTTTCTAAAAATAATTTAAAGGGTCATTGGGAGTCGTAGACTGTAAATATGGAAAGGCTGAAGTGAATTAAGGTGAATGTCCTAATCTGGATTACTCTTAACACTGGATGACACCAAAAAAAAAAAAAGAATGCTTTTCCCTTCCTCAAAACAGTTTTTAAAATGGATTTATAGAATTCTCTCTTTAATATGAGGGAGGCAGGAGGTTTACTACTTGGAGATGGGATTTTGCACACTGGGATGACGTTATATTGAAGGAAAGTCCTCTGCCGGTATATGCAAAGTCTCTTTCTCTTTCACCCAATTTTAAGTGGATGAAGGAATTTTCTTGCTTTATTAACTGGACTGTATTTTTTGCACATGTACAAACCTGTGTAACCCTGAATTGACATCTAACGTGACGGGTGACATTATGATGGAGTGTGTTGAGCTCAAATCACTTGTGTCTGTTACTGGGGTTCCTGTAGCATCTGATTTGCCAGATGTGACTAACTTTCTCTCCTTACCCTGTAAAATGCAATTTATGTTTTTATTTATTCCTTGCATTTTAACTTTATTTTCTGGTGAGTGTTATTATGATTACTTTATCTTTTATGCCTTTTTGCTTGGTGACTTTTCTCGATGCCTTTTCATGTCTGCTTGGATCTGTTTTTTATTTGAGGACTTATATTTCTCTGTGCTGTGTTGTACATGTGTTTTATTTTGAATAAACATTTCCATGCAAATTTGCTGTCTGCTGCATGCCTGTTTCCTCCATTTTCTGTCTTGTGGTCTCATTTGCTGTGTTACCCTTTTTTTTAACCTCTTCTCATCTTCTTATATGTTGTGTCTACCAACTCCCTGGCAGATATCTCCTTTTTATTGTTGAATGAAACATTTCCACAGTTATTAACATTGTAAATGTAGCCATTTTTTTAAAGGAACGTATATTTGTAACACTATACTTTGGGTAATATTACCGTGGCAGTGTATTGGGCACCTTTCTCTTTTCTGACATATTTTTTAAATTGTTTTTTTCTTTTCTTTTCTTTTTTCGGAAAACCATAGCTTGCTATTGTGTGTATAGATATATATATTCCCTATTTGAGCAAATAGGAAGACAAAACATATTTATTGTAGTCCCCTGTTCACCACTATAGATGTTTAGCTAATTATGACGACAACTGCTTCTGAAAAACCTGGAAATATGAAAATGGTCCATTGCAGATCCTGTTTGGCGTCTATTTAGTCTATATGATTTTGTGCAGTGTAATAAAAACAAAATAATTTTTTGGCCCTAAAGGAATAGTTAACCCAGAAATTAAGGTTCTGTCATTACATACTCACCCTCACGTCTTTTCAAACATTAATGATTTTAACACCTGTCAAGCTCCAAAAAGGACAAGAAAACAGCATAACGGAACCCTAAAAGTGGTCCAAACGACTAGTACAATGGTTTTGTGTGAGGAACAGACTGAAAGTGAGGCCATTATATTTTTGAGAGATGCAAAAGTAAGAGACTTTTTGTAAAAAAAATAAATAAAAAGAATATTACATTCATATTCAATCTAGCATGTCACGTTCAGTTACAATATATCTGAAAACCAATGGCATTTTGGCATCAACGATGTCAAGACATGTAATACATTTACATGCCATTTATTAATTTGTTTGTGAAAAATAGAAGTGTACGGGCTTGAAACAGCATGAGGGTGAGTACCAACAGACCCTTTTTACATAATAAGTGAAACATCAGAGGACTGAATCGAAATATTTTAGCAGTATTGTTATCACTGTTTATTTAAACAGATTTTTTTCGTTCTGTATGAAAATATTTATCTGTGAGTAATGAGGGAAGTGTCAAAAACTAAATGGTGGATGACTAACGTAACACAGTATGTCAGTGCATGCGTTTCCACTGTGGTGTTTCTGTCTCAGTTCACATTGTAAGGTAACATCATTGAGTGAAATTTGCATTAACATGTTTTAACCCACACATTCCCATCCCACAAACCCCACCGTGACCCCTCACCCCTGGCCTTTGACCTAACTGACGTGCTTGCATGTGGCTCTCTCGGATGCAGTATGAAGAGGGCCAGCTCTCTTGGAGTTCTCAACGAGCCGGATAAACCTGTGGGTGAACTCAATGTAAGACCACATCCTTCACTGCTCTCTTTCCTTCTCTCATCTGACCGCTTTCTCTTCAGTTTTTCACCCAATCTGTTCTTGCTATGTCTCCATCTTGAATATATTTGTTCCTTTCTGTCTCTCTCAGTACCTCCTGTTCTCCGTTTTGTTTTTCTGGCCTATCTATCTGGCACCTTTCAGTCTCATACTCTTTCTTTTTGGGGGCATCTGTAATCAACACACCCACAGCTCCATCATTACCATATTATCACATGTTAATGAAAGTGTGAGATCTTACAGCGGTCACAGAATAACACGATTGTTTGATCAAATCCTTCGTAACCATTGATGGTCTTGGGTTATATAATAAACATCATGTTAGGAAACAATCCTAAAGTTGAGCTATAGTGCATTGTTCAGTGTGTTTATAATATCTAAAGAGAAATGTATAGTCATCTCAATACTATTTCAAATTAGATTTTTCTGATTGTTCAGTTTTTTTAACTAAATCTTTAAGGACACTATGTAATAAAAATGTCCACATCTAAATGCTAACATACTCCTAAAAGTTTTCTAACATTTTAGCAGTTAAAACGTACAATCTTTTTTTTTTTGGTCCAGTTTTTTTATTTATTTATCTCAATTAAATGCTTGACAAAATTGTCATGTTTTTTTTTTGTACCATTTTCCCTCTTTGTGACTTAATATTCTGCTATTGACGACTTTAATGTTGTTTATACCTTGAGTTACACTAGAGGACCATGATGCTAAAGTACTGATTCAAGCAAACTTATTCCCTTGATAAAAAGAGAACTGCACCGTGTTTACGAAGTTCTATGTTTACATGAGTGATGGTTCAATGATGCACATTTTTTTTATTGCTTTTGAGAAGTGGGAGGGGATCTGGTTTGTAACGAAAGAAATAGGAAAATTCCTCCCTCGTGGTAAAAAGGAAATAATTTAAAGTGGTTTACGCTGCCATGGAGATCTATACGTTCAGAATGTGGATTAAATCTCAGGACTGAAAGAACAGATTGATTATGCAAAGTAACGCAGCACTTTGAACAGTTTGATAGGATAATGTTACACTATCAACCCTTTGCATGTTACAGAACTAAATTGAGATATTTACCTCAGTTTTTATTGGTTACGTTTGGTTTATAGATTGGCTTTCGGTTGATGGACTGGTTTCACCTCTCACACCAGCTCCAGCACTAAAAGATTTGCTAATGAGGTCTATAAACTTAATATTACAAGTTTTCATGAACAATAACAACAGCAAGCCTTTTTCTCTCTGTTATTTATGAGGTAAAGCAATGCTATTATCTCAAATGGAGTTATAAGTACTGCTACTCCAGATTAAAATGCACTGGAACATGAATTCTGCCCCCAGATGTTTAACTACAGTACCCGTTTGAAAGCGGTGTGCCTTGTGAGTGCCTCAGGCAGATTCTTACAAATGAATGTGGAAGTTATTGATTTTGAGTGTGACAGCAGAACAGTTTTAGCTCTGTAAGGTCAAATGTCGGTCATGGTTTTACAAAGTAATTATTAATTTTTAATACTGCGGTCAAATAAATGCCCAATATATGTCAGTGTATCGTCATGGATTTATGCTAATATAGTGCACTGCTCAACTGACTTTCTTGACTTTCTACTTTCTTTGTTCTCCATATCCATGTAACACTTTCTCTGGGTGTAATATATGACTGCCTCATGCAGTAATTCATTCATCTTGTGTGTGTATAAGTGTTTTCTCTGTAAAACGCATGGTAATGCTCTGCATTGTGACGATGTGCAATAGTGTAGCTGATTTTGATCTCACATGCAGTGTTTTACTGACAAAAGCTGGAATATCTGCTTGGCTTCGGTTATCTTTGTACTCTAAACGAATAAATATATAATTTACATTTTTATACATAGAGCATCCACTTGTTTTATGTCACTAATTTCAGCTTTGTTACACACTTGTGGGACTAAATGTGCCCTTCACATGTTCTAAATTTATTTTCAGATGGTTTATATTCTGCGTTTTTTTTTTACTGTTGATCAGTTTGTGTTATATTTAGTCATTGCTGTTTTTTTGTTTTTTTTAAACAGGGTTACTGATGTGGCACTCGCAAAATATACTCTCAAAGGTTCCAATTAAACTTACCAAAAGGCAATATAGCATTCAAAATTAAGGACAAACCTGTGTGTAGTATGTTACAGCGGGGACTGTTGTGACCTGTATGAAATAACCCTGACATATTTATTTTTGTGTTTGTTGATGTTGCATTTCTACTGTCTGTCTCCGTCTTCTACCATTTGTTGTCATAATGTTTTGTATCATGTTGTACGTGTGTATATTTGTGTGTATTCTGAACTTCGCACTGGACTCATGTATCTTCCACTTTCTCAGGCTGCCGCTGTGCTGGCCACACTTCATTTACTGCCATGTTTGTTTTGATGTGTGTTGCTCTGAATATGGTATGGTAAACTTGAATAAAGACAACAGAAGTACTCTACTACTGTAAGATTTTCTGGATTCTAGTTCTCCCTGTTGGCAAGATCACCCAAAAATTAAAATTAGTTACTCACTCTCAGGCCGTCCAAGATGTAGATGAGTTTCTTCATCAGAACAGATTTGGGGAAATGTATCATTACAACACTTGCTCACCAATGGATCCTCTGCAGTGCATGGGTGCCGTCAGAATGAGAGTCCAAAAGCTGATAAAAACATCACAATAATATGCAAGTAAACCACTTGCAAATCTGCGGGTCCGGATGGCTTTAGTGCCGAATTCTATAAAAAAATTCAGGAATAATCTTTTACCTATAATTCAAAGATTGATTAAAAGTGCAACAACACAAAATAAATTTCCACCAACAATGTATGAAGCGAGTATAGTATTAATTCCAAAACCGGGGCGGGACAAGCTGCAGATGTCTTCCTATCGCCCGATCTCTCTCATTTCCACTGAATCTAAGATTATAACTAAAATTCTTGCGAATAGATTGAAAAAGTACATCTGTTCTATAATTCATCAGGACCAGACTGGTTTTATGCCAAAGAGACATATATATTTTAATTTGAGACGGCTCTTTAACATAATTTATAACAAGAAAAACATAAAGACATGTGTTATCTCATTAGATGCTCAACGTGCCTTCGACCAATTAGAGTGGAAATACATGATTGCTGTTCTAAAGAAATTTGGATTCGGTTCAGAATTTATTAAATGGATTGAAATAATTTATGCACATCCAGTAGCTTCTGTTATTACCAACCAAAATATTTCAAATCCATTTCAGTTATCTCGAGGTACACGTCAGGGATGCCCTTTGTCTCCTTTTTTGTTCGATATCTCAATGGAACCATTAGCAGCCAGTATCAGACACCATCCTAACATAGCGCCTATAGTGATAGAGGGCAGACCCCAACATCTTTCGTTGTATGCGGATGATATTCTCCTGTATGTTTCCAACCCTGAAATGTCTATTCCACCATTACTTGAGCTTATTGAAAAATTTGGCAGTCTTTCTGGATTCACAATAAATTGGGAAAAAAGTGAATTAATGCCAGTCTCTGATGATTTAGATAAAAAAATATTTATCTAGCACCAAATTTAAAATAGCAAATCTCTCCTTTAAATATTTGGGTGTAATAATCACTAAAAAACCTGAAATGTTATTAAAATTAAACTGGAAAAAGAAAATTGATCAGCTTAAAGATGATATCATTTTTTGGAAGACACTCCCTATGTCCATGGTAGGCAGGATTAACGCTATAAAAATGGTGGTACTTCCAAGATTTTTGTATATATTTCAATCTATTCCTTTCTTTATTCCCCTTAATTATTTTAAACAGCTAGAATCTATTATAAGCAGCTTCATTTGGGACAACAAGATCGCTAGGATTAACAAGAAACATCTAAACAAATCTAAAGATCAAGGAGGGTTTGGGCTTCCCAATTTTAAATATTATTATTGGGCTGCTAACTTAAATACTTTAGCATGGTGGAGGAAGATTGGTTCAGTGGAGTTAGGTGACAAGCCAGAATGGTTAGCAATTGAAGAAGCTTCTTGTTACAAGACTTCATTAACAGCTCTGCTTAACAGTCCCGTCAAAATTGAAGTCAAAAATATAAATGGTAACACAGTTATTTCAAACCTAATTAAAGTATGGAAACAAATCAAGGTATATTTGAAAATTCCAGATTTATATTTAGATACCCCAATCTGTAATAATCATGCTTTTCCTCCGGGGTTACATGATAAGATCTTTTTTCAATGGAAACATATGGGTATAGTAACAATACAAGATCTTTATAGGGAAGGTACATTTAGTTCTTTTGAACAACTAAAACAACGCTATGCTCTTGTTCCTGCTCATTTTTTCCGTTATTTGCAAGTCAGAGACTTTGT